TCTTGGCGGAGAATCTCTCTGTTTCGATTCCTGACGGATGGCGATCTGTTTCCATGATCTCGAGGGCGTGGATATGTCGCTGAATAGCGCGGATCCACCGCTCCCAGGTTCATCCTGTGAATCTGCGACCATGTCCATCACCGCAGGAAGAGCCATCAATCCATTGGATCCTTCCGAACTGTCGTTCCCAAAAGTTGCAGTACTTGGGCTCGCTGAAGATGCCATTGTACTGTGTGGGTTATTGTTCTTCTGCAGTTTCTGTACCCGCAATAAACCAGCTGTCTCTCCGTCCAGTGTAGAGCTTGTGTTACGGCTGATAACCTGGTAAGGTGACGTCCCGTGGGACGCTGTCCACCGAACCCTCCAGCTGAATGTACTCAACCACGTAGAAAGGATATACGGTTGGACCGTTATAGCCAAACCAGTGCAAACTGTTGTAAGGGGTATTGTCCAGTAACCACACACACGTCCAATATCAGCAGCGCGAATGAACCTGTTTTCTCTCACACAGATCGATCACAGGCGAACGTAGTTCATGCAAGGCCTTGAGCCCTACTTGTGTCTTGAGCCAAATGTGGTTTCCAAAGGGAGCTCTCAATCAACAAGAACATGGACCTCAGAACAGCTTCCCAATTTGGCACGGGGCCTAGAGGGTTTTAACATCTTGCGTGCGGACATTGAGCCGCAACATGAAACCTTTCTCAAGGGGGCTGAGGCGGAGGCAGCGGTGAGCACGCAGATCGGGGATTACAGACAAGGCAACTTCTATCTTGTCACGGACTTGCTGCACAAAGTCGAACAAGGGGCTCTATACCGCCATGCTGGAAGGGCTGAGTAGGAAAGTCGGATGGAACATGACCAACATGATCTGTCCTACACAGACGAGAATCTCAACCACAGCAAGCTTCTGACGCAACTGACAAAGTGCAAAAACAGCATTAAAGGGGCGGTCGAGTCCATCCATCTGTGGATATCGCTTGCGGATGCCATGGAATGGAGGAACACGATCAAGCGTGGTGTGGAAGAGTACCGTTTTGCATCTTGAGTGCTTCGCATGGAAAGTGACTCTACTCTGAATCATATCGAAGATATTGATTGCTGAGTTTTGCGGAGCTTTGATATATACCGCTAAGCTTTTTGGAGCGTATCACGGGCAATTTTCAGCTGTTCAGATATACATCTTGGGCTGTGCTGTGAACTACTTGGATTTGATTTGTGGACGAGCCCAATTCCCATTTTCCATATCTATACGTTTGGTGATATCTGGATTTGCTTGATTTGCGGTGATAGTGGCTTGTGACGAACCACTTGGAGACGGATATTTACAACAAATGGTGATATAGTATCTTTGATTTCATCGATAAACAGGTCCACTGTCTGGTGACTCTCTGTGACCCCATTTGCCGTCATGATGCCCACATCCGGTGTCCATGAGCCACTTCATCCTTCTTGGCTTTCCTGACTTCAGTACCATGTCTCTCATATATTGACAGGACCGTCCCCCTTTCTTCAAGCTCTATCCACGTAGTCGATCTTCTCATGGCTGTCACCTATGAGCATGATTTCCATTGTGTAATAGTCGGACAGGGGTACCTTGATGGAAGTCTGCGAGTCGCGGACATGGTTCGCAGCCCTAATGGCGGCTACTATGCTCTCCTGACACTGATCTTCCCTAGCATACTCGACACTCACACCTTTCTTCCTCGTGTTCGTCACTGCGACACCTCTCAACAAACTCTTGTTCGCTCACATCACCATCATCGTACTCAACCCAATCCCGAAGTATTACGCTCTTTGCCTTCCTTCCCCCTTTCTTGCGAAAATATAGCTTGGCGTTCAGGGTAGCAGGTGCGCATTCCGTCTCAGCGTCGCTATCCACGATGTCTTCCTCACTGTAAGTCGACTCTGCTTCACTCTCCGAGTCTTCCCAAAGCGAGCCCGTGGAAATCACCGCCGCACCTGCCTTCGCCTTCTTGTTTTTCTTCTTTTCAGATCCCGTCTTGCTCCGGGCGTCGGAATCCTTCTCTGCCGGTGCTGAGTTCTTCGGATGCTTGAACTTGCAGCCCTTTCCTTTCTTGCAGGTCCCCTTTTTCCAGAACGAACAGACACCGTCATTCTTGGGGCGCTCCCCCGCCGGAGAGTTGCTGCGTTTAGGACCTTCCTCGAACTTCTTCTTCCACTTGGGTGTGCGCGTACTCTTCTGATGGCTGCATTTGCATTCCAAGCCCTTCGTTGCTTTCCCACGATGGACATGAAACTGGCATAGTATGTTCTTCGTTCCACCAGGCGATTGTTCTCTGGATTTGTAAGGTGACCTCTTCCGGGGCTCAGCCTTCTCCTTCGGCTTCTTTCGCTTCAGACTTTGCCTTCGGTTTGGGCTTCGCCTTTTCCTTGGATGAGGGAAGTGCATTGCCCAATCAGTGATCTTTGAGCGACTTCTCCTTGTTATTTCAGTTCTTTTCCTCCTTGGTGGCTTTCGCCCGCAATCATGTTGAGCAAGTATTTATGCGTCTTCGCGGGGTCACTGCGCTCCATATGCTCGTGCAATTTCAGATCTAGCTCCAATTCTTTTGAATTCCCTTTCAGCTTTCGGTACAGCGTGTCCCTCGGCTCTTCTTCTTGTGGAACAGACTCCGTTGCCTGAAATCTCACATTTTCTTCCGAAACTCTCCAGCACCATGAATATCATTTGCCTTCCTTTGATGCCCTTTCCTACCTTGATTCCTGAGCCTTTATCAATGACTCTCTGGCTTCGTCCTCTGCCTTTCTCTCATTGTCTCTGGCGGCTAGGTATTCGGACTTGATGCTTTCCACGCTTCTCTCGTGGAGGGCATCATTGAACTGCTGCATTGACTCGTATTGTTTCTGAAGAGCACCGTATTGACTCTGGGCCATACTCTCAATCCAGCTCATGTTCTTCTTCATCATTTCGGCTTGTTCCTCCGCCATTTCAGTAGAGGCCGGCGGCGGCTGTCTCTTCCAGACTTAAATGATTCCTTAATCGATCCACTTCCACTCTCAACTTCATTCATCTGCATTCTAGCTTCGTCGGCCAACTTCTCAGCGGATCGGAACCATTCTTCCCTTGATTCATCTGTGGAGAAGTGTTGTATCTCATCCCTCAAGGTTTGGATTTGTCCATCCTTGTTGGTGACTATACTGTTGTCGTGCGTTTCCGCACCTCTCAGTTTGGCTTGCATCGCCGACTCTTCTTGCTTCATCACTATTCGAAGTTGTTCATTCTCACGACTCAATCTGGTCCGTAGCCCGGTACCAGTTACCAGTGTTGAGCATGGACTGATATTCATTGGTGGCTTTGACCGCTTCCCGCAATGAAGCTGAAATCTCACTGTTCTCCGCTCGCAGCTGTTGTGTCTCATTGTTGAAATCATAGGCCGTTGCCTCAAGCTCAGTTAGCCTACTTGCTTTGGTCTTTAGCTGAACCATCGCCAAGTTGTATTCATCGCTCATTCTCTCATGAACATGTGCAACTTGGGACTCCAGGGTGTGATTTTTCTCTCTAGCCCAAGTATCCTTTGCAAACTTCGCGCCTCATCGGATTCCAGGCGAATTACAGATGATCGCAACGATGCACATTATGCCTTCAATGAATTGTTCTCATCATACTGCTCTGCAGATTCGCTCATCTGTTACTCTGTCTTCTGTTGCGCTTTCCGTAATTCATCTTCGAGTTGTTGGTTCGCATTCCTGGGGTCACATGGTGAAGCCCTTGAGGAGGACGATTTTTGCCCCTTCCGAGATTTACGGCTCTCGACCGAGAGGAAGCTCTCGCCCCCGATCTGCGCCGGCATCGCTCTGCTGGCTTGCTGCCGAAGGCCCAGCGCTCACCACAATGGTGTCTCCGCTCCCATGACCGGCTGATTCCGGTGTTCCTTGAGATGAAATTCCGGCGGTGCCGCGAATGTAAGCGAAGATCTCCCATCGGACATTGTCTTGTAAGCGTTGTGCCACTTGGCAATGTACTGTTTGGATCAATATGAAACGGGGTTCAAGACATCTTTGTCTCACAGCACGTGGGGCAAACCCTACGGCTGATAACCTGAGAAACCGAGGGGTTTCTTTGGTATCCCCGACAACAGTGGTATCCCCAACAACAGTGGTTGTGTTGTCCTCCAGGAAACCTGCAGTATCCCAGTTGTTTTGCTTGAATGCCTCACTATGGTGATAGTGAGACGTATCTTGGCCTTGGGCCAGGACTTGGGCCAAATGGCAAGACATGTGTGTGTAGAACACGTTAAATTGCATCAGTGGCTGGCACACTATTCACAAAAAATGTGCTTGGAATCTTGAGAAAGGGTGTTATTTGCTTTTTCTGGCTCCCCAAAACTGAGAAGAAGCAAGCAGAACTCTGTTCAAGCTGGGCTTCAAAAATGTGCCTGGAATGTTGAGACAAGGCCTCCAGTCTGCTATTTGCTTGTTCTGGGCCACCCCAAAAAGCAAACAGAACTCTGTTCAAGCTGGGCTTCAAACATGTGCTTGGAATCTTGAGAGAGGGCCTCCCAATCTGCTATTTGCTTTTTCTGCCCCCCCCCCAAAAAAGCAAACAGAACTCTGTTCAAACTTGGCTAAAAAAACCTGAGGTGCTATTTGCTTTTTCTGGCTCCCCAAAACTGAGAAAAAGCAAACAGAGCTCTGTTCAAGCTGGGTTCAAAAATGTGCTCGGAATCTTGAGAAAGAGCTCTGCTATTTGCTTGTTCTGGGCCACCCCAAAAAGCAAACAGAACTCTGTTCAAGCTGGGCTTCAAAAATGCGCCTGGAATCTTGAGAAAGGGCCTCCCGAGGTGCTATTTGCCTTTTTTGGCCCCCCTAAAAAGAACTCTGTTCAAACCGGAATCTTGAGAAAGGGCCTCCTCTGTGCCTGGAATGTTGAGAAAGGGCCTCCCGAGGAGCTATTTGCTCTTTCCCCACACAGCTTGCTGTGTGGGGTTGTTGATTGATCTCTAAAGAACGCACGCCTGTCTGCTGGATGCCCTGCACGCCTCCTCGCGGCTTTCATTCGCTCGCTCTTCAAGACAGCGCGCGTCGTCGATCTTCTCTCCCTGTAGCTCTTTCAGCCGTCCGGTCAAGTAAGCCTCAGCAAATCACTCGTGTCACGGCTCATCACAAGCGAAAGCAACAAAGTGTGCATGCGTGATTGCTTGCTTGCTTGCTTGCTTTAATTTCGGACACCACGCCCAATGCCTCCCATTAGCTGCGAAAACTCTATGGTACGGGCGTGAGCGGCACGGGTTTGGCTATTTCAAACACACAAAAGCAATAAGCTGATCAGGATCTATGGCTTAGGCATCAACCTCCTCTACTGGCAATGGCTCAAGACTGGCCAAGCTTGGCGTTGGGATGAGATTTTGGCATCGACAGGTTAGGAGCCTTCGGTTGTTTCAGGTCTGTTTTGTTCAAATTTAGTTTTGCTGTGGGTCCTGGGCTGGGCTTGGCTTGGCTTCAGGTTCAGCGATGGCCCTGCCCGAAGCCTTGCCAAGATCAGCGTCAACCGATTGGTGGCCTTCCACCCCGCCAGCACTTTAACCGTGAAGATTTGAGACCTTGAGTTTCCTTTCAGATGCCTGGCCAGCTCCTCAAACTTGAGGCTCTTGTTGGAACAGGCCGTCATTGCTGCTGCCACCGTCTTCCACCTTGTCAGCTGACAGCCTTTTTGTTTTCAGGCCTTGGTGGCTGGCTGCTGCTGGGCACATCATTCAGAAAGCTCCTGCTCCTCTTGGAAGGGGCCCACTGCCTGGAATGCGTGCTCCAGATTGCCAAGGTCTTCATCAGTATCCACCTCCCTTGACTGCTTCTTATTGAACCCCTTGGTCTTCACAAAGGTCTTCTCTTTGCTCCAATTGCTCCTGGCAACGTGCATCTTGACATTGCTGGTCTTACTGTGTGCCACTTCTATGATTGGGTTTCATCCTCATCATATTTGTGAAGCAATTCCTTCCAGCTGACTGGCTTTTCCTTCTCTTTGAAACTCTTGAAGCTTGTGATGGACTGAATCTTCTGCACGAAGTGTGAGCCCCACTTCCTGTCCAGGAGCCTCACCACTGCACTTTCTGTGCATTCTTTTGCCCTACTGGGGCCTGGCTTGCTGTCTCCCATTGGTCCTTGGCCTCTTGGGGGGCCGACTTCAAAGCATTGAGAAACTTGCTGCTCAATTTCTTTGCTCAGTTGTGCACAGCTGCAGGTCTGCTTCTGGATCTTCCTTTTCAATTTTTTTCCTTCCGCATCTAAATCTTCTCCTCCAAGGTGACTGTGGCAGTCTCGTCCCTGTCAGAGGCAGCTAGCTTTTGCTGTCAATTTCCAGTTGCTTTTCTGTTTTTTCTGATTCTTTTCTGAATTCCATAGTTTGTCAGAAAAAATCTGAAAATGTTGGAACTGGGAAAAATCCGAAAAATCAGAAACGTAACTGGAAATTCAGAATGATTCACCAGCCGCAAAAAGTTGTTCGCTTGCAGCTCTTGCTTTGATATTACCTTCTGATATTGCGATATGGTTGGCGTCTTTCACTTCATTCACACCCAGCTTTGGCCCCAGCTCGAATCAACGCAGCTCCTAATCCCACCTTTAAACAGAACCTACGCTGGCTTGAAGGCTCTCCAAACTAACCGCAAGCCCGCCCCATTTCGTCCGGATAACCATCCCAGCTAGATAGAGCCTGGCCTTGAAGCTCGCCCGCAACCCATCCCGAACGCATCACAAATCCGCTTGCCAATGTCGAGTAGACCTCTGACTTGTCAACAAAACAGAAACGCGACGCTAACATATTTTGTTCGCCCTTTTTCGGCAAAATTTGGCTGGCGAATTGCCATTTGGAGGGCGATGCCATCTTTCAACGCATCCGCGCAATAAGACAAACAAATCAAAAACCCTCGGCCCGAAAAAGACTGCCTCCAAGCAACCTTGAAATGTTCTTGGATGATTGGCAAGGCGGGCTCGGGCAGCTCCAGCAACACCTGGGTTGCGATGATCAGATCCGCCAAGATTCAAGCTTGGAAACTTACTGCAAACCACATTGGTGCACAACAAAGCGTGGAACAGGTTTTTGTGCTCCACTCAGACGCAAATCGCTCGGACAAATGTACCCGGCTTGAAGCAAACAACCTCTCCACCATTGCGCTGCAGCAAGAAACGTGCGCCAATCCGAACCAAGTCAGGACACCTTGGCCAAATGATACCTGCACGTGAGGCTGTCATCCACGCCCATTTCAAAATATGACTTCGCCTCCTCCAATTCTTTGACCTCGCCTGACACAAACAGGACAGACAAGCTTCTCTTGGCCAACCACGGCAGCGTGTGAGAACCCCGCGGACATAAGACAAGGCCCGCAAGCTTGACGCCAAGATGCGGCTGAGGCTGACGAGGACAACGCCGCAGTTCAAATAGTGACGAGAAAGATGGGCCCTTTCTGCTGCAGGAAGCAGCGCATCCTTTTCAAACTCCTTTGCCGCCTCTTGCGCTTTGCTGCAGAACTGCCACGCTTCTTCCCAGTGTTGCTTTCTGCCGTGTAAATATGCAAGATCCCCGCAAACCTGGAAAAACATCTTTTGATGTTGTGGCTGCTTCTCTAACTCTGTAAGGAGCCCCTTACAGCAGCGTATCGCATTTTCCTCGTTCGTGGAGTTGGGGTTCAAGATAAAGAGCTGCATGCACGCCAAGGCCATGGTCGCGTAGGCCTTGATCATTTGTTCCTCCTGGCGCGCGCGGCGCTCGCAAGGCCAACGACGGCCATTTACTACAGCAATGTGTTGGCTTACCGCTGCCTGAGTCCTTGCAACACTGCAACGCAAAGTTGGGGCTGCATAATTCATTTCAAATCAATGCTTTTCCTCCCTTTAAGCATCACAAACATGCAACAAATCGCGCCATGGGCAACGATTTGCTCTGGCTCGACAATGAGCGCTCTGCAAGCAACCCCCCTTGTCCTTGTACACTTGTGTAACCACTGCGCCGTGTGGTGGCATCTTCTCCCAACCCAGTTTGGCACGTTCGCAGGCAACTTTTACACTTGTCCAACCACTTGTCCAATCTGTTGTTCTTGCCTCTTTGGCTGGCTCTGTTTCTGCGGCTTTCAGCCGCTTGATCAGCGCCACTGCGTAACTGTGGTAGCAGGCCGTCATCCTCGAGTACTGGTCCTGTCAGGGTTTAGAACCTTGGGACGCTGCAGCTTCATTGAACCCGCGCGTTCCAGCACCTGGGCTCCTCTCTATATCTCTACCTCTGTATCTCTCTATCTCTCTACCTTTCTATCTCTCTATCTGTCTATCTACCTACCTGCCGACCTTGCTACCTATATACGATCTATCTATCTCTCTACCTGTCTATCTGTCTATCTATCTGTCTATGTATCTATCTACCTCTCTATCTCTCTAGCTCTCTATCTGTCTATCTCTCTATCTGTCTATCTCTCTATCTGTCTATCTCTCTATCTCTCTATCTATCTGTCTCTCTATCTGTCTATCTGTCTATCTAGCTGACAGCGCAAAGCGCTGCGCCTGCCACGAAATCTGCACTTGACCCTGCAAAAGTGGGTGCGCCTGCCACGGTATCTGTGCCTGACCTTGCGCAAGCGCTGCGCCTGTCATGAAATCTGCGCCTGACCTTGCGAAAGTGCTGCGCCTGCCACGAAATCTGCACCTGACGTGCCTGAGGTTGCCAAAGTGCTGCGCTCGTCACGAAATCTGCCACGATGTCTGTACCTGACCTTGCGAAAGTGAAGGGAAGCCAAGAAAGAATCTGTCCAAGGGAGACAAGGGGAAACAAAGGGAGACAGGGCCAGCAAAACCCCCTCGACCGGCTGGCACACGTGAAAAGAGCCTAAGGGAAGATAAGGGAAGACAAGGGGAGACAAGAAAAGACACCCATCCAACCTCGACCAGCCTGCAGCACATATGAAGACAGAGCGGCAAGAACCTGTCCAGGAAAACCCGTCTATTCTAAAAAGAATCGCAGAAACCGCACAAAGTCCTCAGTTGTTGCACATCGGCCACGCCGATCCCCGCAGAGGGTCGGCTTTCCGATCGCCAAGTTGGCGCAGGCCCGCCGCCTTGAAAGAGCGCGCGAATTCATAAGAATACTAAGAAAGATATATGGCTAGTGTAAATCATTGAAAACCTCTTGCGCCAACCTCTTATGTAACTTGTGTAACTTGATCGTACAGCTTGCATTACAAACCTCTCCTGTATCTTCCTTCTGCAACTTGCTCTAGCAACCTCTGCCGCAAGCCGCTGCTCCAACTCGCTATTGCAATTCGCTAGTGCGTCTTGCTAGTGCAACTTCCTAGTGTCATCTTGCTATTGCTACCTTGCTAGTGATTCCTTCCTAGTGCAACTCGCCACTGCAACTTGCTAGTGCTATCTTGCTAGTGCAACTTGCTAGTGCAACTTTCTACTGCAACTTGCTAGCGCTATACCTTGCTAGTGCAACTTTCAAGCGCAACTTGCTAGTGCATCTTGCTATGCCTGTGAGAATTTGCTAGTGCAACTTGCCGCTGCAACTTGCTATAGTGCTATCTTGCTAGTGCAACTTACTGGTGCAACTTGCTAGGGAAACTTGCCACTGCAACTTGCTAGCGTTATCTTGCTAGTGCAACTTCCTAGTGCAACTTGCTGGTGCATCTTGCTAATGCTATCTTGCTAGTGAGAACTTGCTAGTGCATCTTGCTAATGAGAACTTGCTAGCGCAACTTGCTCATGACAACTTGCTAGTGCATCTTGCTAATGACAACTTGCTAGTGCAATTTGCTAGTGCATCTTGCTAGTGAAGCCAGCCAGCCAACCAGCCAGCCAACCAACCAACCAGTCTTGGAGCCCTTGCTAAAATGCGAGCCACTCCTTGCAAATGACACAAAGAATAACAGCGCAAGCAGTTGCGATCCAGAAAGCAAGGGTAAAAGCAAAGGAATCTTACAGCACAGTCGCTGCGTCGCTGTGGCCCTTGCTGTGGCAGTTTCTGTAGCACTGCGCTGGCACTACGCTTGCGCTGCATTTGCGCAGCGCTGGGGCGCGCGCACACACACACACACACTTGCAGTTCACTGGCAATGAACTGGAACTGCGCTGACAAGTCGTGAGGAGGCGTGCAGGGCATCAGGCGACACAAGCTGGGAGACAAGCTGGGAAACAAGCCCGCGAGGAGGCGTGCAACCAGCTGGGAGACAAGCTGGAGACAAGATGGGAGACAAGATGGGAGACAAGCTGCTCGGGAGGCCCGGTCTCAAAATCCCAGGCACGTTTTTGAAGCCTGAACAGAGCTCTGTGGCCTTGTCTCAAGATCCCAGGCACGTTTTTGAAGCGCAGCTTGAACAGAGTTCTTTTTGCTTGTTGGGGGGCCCCGAAAAAGCAAGTAGCACCTCGCAAGGCCCTTGTCTCAAGATTCTAGGCATATTTTTTGAAGCCCGGCTTGAACAGAGTTCTGTTTGCTTTTTTTTGTGGCCCAGAAAAAGCAAATAGCACCTCGGGAGGCTCTGCCTCAAAATTCCAAGCACAAGCCCAGCTTGATCAAGGTTTTGCTTGCCCCCAACCAAGCCCAGAAAAGCAAACAGTGCCCCAAGAGGCCCCGCCCCAAGATTGAGGCGAGCGCTAGCTGCCCTCCGCAAAACGTGGAGAAACTGCCACAAACCGTGGCCAAAGATTGCCCCGAAAACCGTTAATCCTGCGAGACAAGCCACGAGGGGGGCGCGCAGGGCATCCAGCAGACAAGCGGGAGCTGAACACGCTGCCAAAACGCGGCAAGCAGACAAGCGGAAGCTGAAAGCCACGAATAGGCGTGCAGGGGCATCCAGCAGGCAACACAAGCCGCGGAGACAAGCTGGGACAAGCAACAAGCAAGAGCTGGGAGACAAGCTGGGAGACAAGCTGCGGGGAGGCGTGCAGGGCATCCAGCAGACAGGCGTGCGTTCTTTAGAGATCAATCAAGAACCCCGCGCAGCAAGCTTTTTCGGGAAAAGGCAAGAGACAACTAACCCGTCAGCAGCTCGCAGCAACAGCGGTTGGTCCTCGCCAGCCCAGAAACGCACATCTGCGTCTGCAGTTTCAGCCACATCCCCTAGATTCCCTGACGCAGCTTGCTTGTGCTTCTCAATGGCCGCTTCGTACTCCTCAATAGCCGCTTTGAAGAAATATGCTGCGTCCTTGTCATCCTTCTTTTTGACCTTGGCGAGAAACCGCTCACGAAGGAACATGTGCCGAGCAAGCAGCACATTACATGTTTTCTTGGGCGCCAGTGAGCGGTTGCTGATCTGGCAATGTTGCCCCCCTGCGTCAAACGCATCTAAACATGGTTCTGGCAAAAGCATGTCACGAAACATGTGAACGCTGGTGATGGGGCTTGCTGCCCTGTGCTGGGGGCCAATTCTGCACCATTGCAATTTTTGCAAGGAAATGCATAAATACAAACGATTGGTTTTGCGCAGTCAAGAAATGCTCTGAATGGACAAATTCAGAGCTTTGTCACCCTGATTTGCGAAATGCCTTCAAAGCATCATCCGCGGCACAAATCTGCATGCATGCATGCATGCGTGCGTGCGTGCATGCATGCATGCATGCATGTGTGTGCGTATGTTCTCTGAGCGCGTCTGCTGATCTTTTGGCTGACACATGTCAAGGTGTTTCCTTCACCGCCGTTCCCGCCTGAACTCCTTTTTTCCCCTTCAGTCTCGTCTCAAACCATCTATGGACATTCCCTTACCCTTTTTCCACATTCCTCGTTTGGAACTTGATCTTGGAGTTATCCTCTTGCCAATGAAAGATCTTGTCTCAAACAGAGATTGGTTTCGAACTCATTCGCACATGTTGAGCGAGGCGTCGAACATCTTCGGATTGTCTCGCTTCCTGGTAAGCTTGTTGGGCAAGCTGTCGGATCTGTCCTGCGGTGAGTTCGGATTCACTCTTCGGAATTGTCAACTGTGGAGGAGTGAGTTGCAACCTCAAGTTGTACGAGTTCAGCTGGTCTGCGTCCGATGCAAGTTCTAATGGAGTTACTCCGCCGTAGGTGACGGCCTTCACGAGTTGCCGGTAAGTCACGTTCTTCAGCGACGGTGCGGCACTTCCAGTCTTGGTGGAATTCAGCACCAGTGACACTTGTCTCTTCAAGAGACGCGCAGCTGCTTTTCCGAAGGACAAAGGTTTCATATCTAGAACAACTCCCAACTCTCAGTCATGAATGCTTGATCACCAACGACAGTCTTGGGCTGGAGGTGATACTGATTGAGCAGGATTGCGATGTTTATGCCTACGCTTGGAAAACCGTCCGGGTAGTGACTGCCATCGCATCGTTCAGCATACCGGCGTCTCGTGATCTCATGACAGAGCACACCCGCTCCGCTGCGTCCGCAATCAGCAGAAGACACGCTTGCCCACGAGAAGCACGTCCGCAACCAGCAGAATACATGCTCGGCCCTTGACAAGGACACCCGCTCCGCTGTGTCCGCAACCAGCAGACCACGTGCTTGGCCCATGACAAGCACACCCGCTCCGCTGCGTCCGCAACCAGCAGAACACATGCTTGCCCCATGATAAGAACACCCGCTCCGCTGCGTCCGCAACGAGCAGAACACATGCTCGGCCCGTGATAAGCACACCCGCTCCGCTGCGTCCGCAACCAGCAGAACACATGCTCGGCCCATGATAAGCACACCCGCTCCGCTGCGTCCTCAACCAGCAGAACACACGCTCGGCCCATGGTAGGCACGTGCTGCGTCCGCTACCAGCAGAACACATGCTCGGCCCATGATAAGCACACCCGCTCCGCTGCGCCCGCAACCAGCAGAAGACATGCTTGCCCATGATAAGCACGCTGGGAAAATGCCATGGAGGGCGACCTACCCACGCATACTGCCAAGACACTGAAGCAGATCTGAAAAGGGAAATGGCATGGAAAACCCTACCCACACATACTGCCAAGATGCAGAAGCAGACATGAGAAAAGACAAAAGGCGGCCATTTCAAACGAGTGCGGACTCAAACGAACCAGCCGGCGCTCAAAACGCAGGTGAAACGCAATTTTGCTCGAAAAAAGGGGTAACTTTTGACCACCCACACCTTCATTTCGTATGGTAAAACGCAGTGTTTTTCTGAAACCCGCTGGAGAGTTGTGTATTTGGTGGCAGGCGTGGGATGGGGGGCGTCGCGCGCCGGGATGTCTATGTCATCGGCTGTGGAACTGACTAACTTCGGCTGTTTTTCGTTGCTGCATCAAGGATCACAAGCACATAAAGGTGTTCACATGTGCCTAACGGAACATGGCAGTGATCAATGAATGTCATTTCACCGCCTGTCTCTGCACGGAGACCACTCACTCTGCTGCGTGCAGCAGTGGATGCTTTCTGGCATGGCTCACACTCTGCACGGATCTTGTTGTAGATCTCCTCAGTCCAAAAATCTAGTTCGGAACTTGAACTGTTCCGTGGACATGTGTGGAGCTTCTTGAGCTCTTCTGGCTCTGACAATCTTGCATGGATTCTCTTCAACGCAACAAAAGTGGTCGGAGGATCTACTGGTCTGACTGGATCTCTTGGTTCATCGGCACGCCGGCCTGCTTCAGGAATGATCTCCGTTCCTAAGTCCTCAGGCTTGAGAACTGCATCTGCAAACTTGAAGATACCCTCGGCAGTCCAAAGCTCTGGTAAGGATTTAGTCTTCGATTTGCGCCGGTTGTCTTCATGTGATGGAAGTGGATCCTTGGCGGTTTGATCAAACCTCTTGGTAAGCCTGTTGGTGTAGATCTTGCTGCGCGGAATTGGACAGGCAAAGCAATGCCTTCCTGTGGTGTCACATGGACCCTACGGATTTCTTTCTTGGTGTGGCTCACGATCCAATGATCAGCCTTGGTGTTGCTGGGACTGCCTCAGCAGGACACGCAAATGCAGGCGCAGTGGGAAAGGCACAGCAAATTTTGTCATCACCCACACTGGGATTAGCCACGCTGCAATTTTCCAGATATACTCATTGCGGGCAACTCCTGCTAAGTCCAGCTTTTTTTGTATTCTGCAGCCGTTCGCGTCTGCGCCGGTCTGCCGTGCGCAACCACCACCATTCATCTGCGGGTCAGTTCTGCGATCACAGCGTCTGACACCACAGTGGGATTTACATGCCGGATGCTTTGCAGGATATCTTCTCACATGTGTATGCTCAATAGTCATGTGCAGATTCGTATCTGATCTATACTCTACAGGATTGGAACTTGGCCTTCCACACATCTATGTGGGTCTTCATTGGCGGCTTTGTGTTGAAATGGAGCACAAGTGTCCAATCAACCTTGGCTGTCTGGTTGGATGTCTGGTTAGGGGCAAATGCGAATCTGGTGTATTTAAATGCAATCTTGTCCGGATAACTGTCAATGGCAGCAACGAACTTCTGGATTGCGTGCCAACTACCCATGAATCTTGTGCATGATCACGGGCGCCATGAGTCCGCCATCTCCAACTACCAGGTTTCATCCGCAGAGCACAACGAGATGTTCGTGAACGGCGCATGTGATTCCGACTCACACAGAGGAAGTGATGAGCTATTGCAACTGCCACCTGTGGCATCCACCTGACCTCCTTTTGTTGAAGGATAAGGCAGGGAATGAAGTTTCTGATGCTAACTGCACGCAACAGTGTGCTCTTACTGGCATCAATGTCCACTGTGTGATCTGCCAGATATGCCTTTTGACCGGCGAACACAGAATTGCTATTCTTGCCTCATACTTTGCGTAGTCGTGCATCGCCGTAACGTACACGGAAATCTTCCTGAGGTACAACCCCATTTATTGCGCTTGTCAACGCAGCCAGAGGGTCACAGACCTTGGCAACATGAGTCTGTTGATGAACAACTCCCCGGTCAGCTCGGCGTCGTTGCTTGCACTTGTAACTGTAGAAGCGAAGCCCTGATCCATGCTCTCCAAGGACCATCCGCTGTCAACATCTCCGCCGGCGATCCCGAGCACGAGTATAGCTGGAGGTAGTTCCCTGCGCCATGAAGACGTAGATGCCCCTTCTGCGTGTGGGCCGGGCCGCCGCACTTTCCCTTTCCCTTGAAGCCAGGGTACCAAGGGACGGCGTCGATGTCAATCTTGTCGCGACAGACAAAGAGTTCCTCGCCAGTGGGGTTCTCCAATTACCGGTGAAGTGCGTGTAGTACTGGCTCTTTGTCCATGATTCCTCGACGACCCAAGTCTGGTAGCTGTTGAACCAAGCCAACCTCTGCTGGAAGTCAAGCCTGTTGCTCGCGATCATGTAGTTGGGCACTGAATGCTCCCATAGCTTCTTGGCAAAGGGGACAATTAGGAGGTACTTCCCCAAACCATCCATCGACTATCGAAAAAAAGCGGTCTTGTTCATGAAATTCTGTGTTTATCATGGCGCACTTGAAATCTCGGTTTCAAACTAGATTTTCAACATCGCACGCTTGAATTTGGAGAAAAACAAGACTCACAACTGAACAGCCTTAGTAGTTTTGCCATCGAAAAGCAAGCCACTGCAATATTGAAATTCCAGAAAAAACGTGAGCATCTTTTTCTGGGAACAATAATTTTCAATGGCTGCAACATGCCATGTCTGACAGATTGAAAGGCTGAGGTATGCCTGCCAACACGGATTCCAGCCCAGGTCTTGAAAAAGGAATGCAGATAAATCATTGTTTCTGCTTGCTGTTTGCAGCCATGTGCAGTTTGGCCAGATGCATGCCATTTGTGCAGGGATCAAGGTTTCCTCATAGCTGCCTGCCACCAGCCATGGGGAAGTTGGGTGTCAGCCAGAAGCACCAAGTGCCCTCATTGAGCACAGCAAGAAAGAGGGCATTTGCAAAGCCTTCAGCTTTAGTTGCTACAAGGATGTGCTGTTGCCCAATGCTGTGAAGGGCGCTGGCGTGCTAGCATTGGAGTCACTTGCCAGGCCTGTGTGACAGATGGACCCAGCCTTTCTATGGCAAAGGCAAGGGCAAGCAGAAGGGCTACAACTACGTTTGGTGGCATGATGGGGAGGGGTGGAAATTTTGTACACATCTGCCATTTGACCAAGGTTACATGAGCTTCTCTGAGTGGCTGGGTGAGACAGGCAGCTTGCCTGTAGTGATCCAACACCGTTATCATGGTGCCCAAGAAGGAAAACCAGAAGCAAACCCAGAACATGAACCTGGGTCAAAGAGCTCAAAAGACAAAAAGAGCAGCTGCAGAGAAGGAGGGGAAGAATGAGGCCAGTGAGGTGAAGCTTGCCAACATCTCACGGAGCAGCTGACTGAGGAATTGCAAGAAGTTGCCAGGATCAGTGAGAGTGGAGATCTTCTGCCATGCATTACCAGAAGCAGGCTCTTAGGACTGAGCTGGAGGACAAGAACCAGGAGCTCAGAGAGGCAGTGAGGCGCCTTGCTCAGAATGTGCAAATGGGGCCACATGAGTTAATTCAGAGTGCGTGGGCCCATGCATGAATGTCAGCATGTTGCTAAGCTAGGGCGGCAAAACGTAAATAGTTACAAAGCAGTTGGGCCCGTCAAGTATAGCAACTACGACAAGCAAGAAGGCGATGTGCGAGGTTGCTGAGGGTGAGTCTGTGACGAGGACGTCTTGAAAGCATCATCATCTATGGCATGTGATTGGTTTGCCTCCGTGTTACTGGAAGTATGCAATCATCGCGGTCTGTCACCTCATGAATGTTGGAGCTGATCGAAGGATCGAGCGCGTGGTTCAGGATGCACAGGGTTCAAGCCAAGGCGCGAGATCACGCCATCAGCGAAGGCATGCCCACTCCGATCCAGGCTTGCACCGCGCTGATGGTCGTCTGCTGGCCCTCCCTGAACTTATGAGAGTCTCCCCAGACTTTCCTTCCCCCTCTTCATCTGGTTGACGAACGTTTGGACATACAGCATTGAATAGGGCACGGAACGCAGC